TTGATTTCTTCATTTGCAAATATTTTCTCCTATGCTGTGGGTTGTCTTTTCATTTTGCTTCATTGTGGGTTTTAATTTGCATTTCTGTAATGATTAGTGATTTTAAACATCTTTTCATGTTGGCTATATCTTCTTTGGAGAAATGTCTATTCAAGTCCTTTGCCTGGTTTTTATTTTTTTAGTATTTTTTTTTCATTTTTATTAGTTGGAGGCTAATTACTTTACAATATTGTAGAGGTTTTTGCCATACATTGACATGAATCAGCCATGGATTTACATGTGTACCCCATCCCGATCCCCTGTCCCAAGTCCTTTGCCTGGTTTTTAATCAGATTGTTTTTCATTGTTGAATCATAGGAGTTATCTGGATCTTCTGAATATTAACCTTTTATTAGATATATGATATACAAATATTTTCTCCCATTTCATAGGCTGCCTTTTTACTCTGTTGATTTTGTATTTTGCTGCACATAGTTTAAATTTTGATATCACCCAACTTTTGCTTTTATTGCCTATAGTTCTGGTGTCATAGCCAAGAAACCCCTGCCAAGTCCAGTGTCATAAAGCTCCTATTCTGTATCTTCTCCTGAGTTTTATAGTTTTAGTTCTTATGTTGAAGACTTATCTATTTTGAGTTAATCTTTGTGTATCATGTAGATAAAGTAGGGGTTCAGCTTCATTATTTTGCATATAGATACCCAGTTTTCCAACAGCTGAAAAAAACTGTCTTTCACCCCATTGGTCTTTCCACCTTTGTCAAAAAATCATTTGACCGTACATCTAAGGATTTATTTTAGGTTCTTTGTTGTGTTCAATAGGGCTTCCCTGGTAGCTCAGTTGGTAAAGAATCCGCCTATAATGCAGGAGACCCCAGTTTGATCCCTGGGTTGGGAAGATCCACTGGAGAAGGGATAGGCTACCCACTCCAGTATTCTGGCCCAGAGAATTCCATGACTGTATAGTCCATGGAGTCACAAAGAGTTGGACATGACTGAGCGACTTTCACTTTTCATTGTGTTCATCTGAATTTGTCTTAATGTCAGGATCACACTATTTTGACTGCTGTAGCTTTGGAGAATGTTTTGGAATCAGGACATGTGAGACCTCCAACTTGGTTTTTCCCTCTAGATTGCTCTTTTGCAGTTCCTTGAAATTCCACATGAATTTCAGGATGGATTTTTCTATTTCTGAAAGAAAAATACTATTTGGAAATTTTGACAAGAACATTAAATCTGTTTAGGTAGTACTGACATCTTAATAATTTAAGTCATAATCCATGAAGATGAGATGTCTTTCCATTTATTTAATTTCTTTTGATCATGTTTTGTAGTTTTCAGTGTACAAGTCTCTCACCTCCTTGGTTAAGTTTATTTGTAAGTGTTTTATTCTTTTTATGTAATTGTAAGTGGAAAATTTGGAGGGAGAGTGTTCTTTGTTAATGTATACAAATGCAACTGATTTTTGTGTACTCATTTTATCCTGCCACTTTGCTAAATTCATTTACTAATCTTAATAGTTTTTCTTGTTTAAATGTTAGGATTTTCTACATAAGATCACGTGAACAGAGAGAATTCCACTTCTTCCTAATTTGAATGTCTATGATTATTTTTTCTTTTATCACTATGCTAAAAATAAGTGGTAAAAGCAAACATCCCTGTCTTGTTCCTGATCTTAGAGAAAAAGCTTTCTCACCATTAGGTGTATGTTCGCTGTGGGTTTATAGCCTTTATTAGGATGGTCTAATTACTTTCTTTCTATTCCTAACTAAATGCTTTTACCATGAGGTAGTGTTGAATCCTGTCACATGATTTTCTGTATCAATTCAAATGTGTTTTTTCCCTTAATTCTGTCATGGTATATAATCCTTTTAATGTGTCACTGAATTCTCTCTTAGTATTTTGTTTTGAATTTTTGCATCAGTTTTCATCAGAGATACTGGTTTGTGTTTTTTGTATAGTGTCTTTTTCTGGCTTTGGTTATCAGGGTAGTGCTAACCTCACTAAATGAGGTTGGAAGTGTTCCCTCCTCTTAAATTTTCAGGAAGAGTTTGAGAACTGGTGCTGATTCTCTTTGCATGTTTGGTAGAATTCAAGAGCGAAGCTCTTATTTTCTTATTTTGGTTCATATTTTCATTGTGGAGGGATTCTAGATTACCAAGTTGATCTCCTTGCTAGTATAGGTCTATTCAGATTTTGTTTCATCACGATTCAGTCTTAGTGAGGTGCGTGTTTCTAGGAATTTATCCATTTAGGTTACCAATTTATTGCCATACAATTATTCATAAGTATTCTCTTACAATCCTTTTCATTTCTGTAAAATGGGTTGTACTGTTCTTTCATTTCTGATTTTACTTATATCATCTTTTTTTCTTAATCTAGCTAAACATTTGTCAATTTTTTGCTCTTTTAAGAAAACCAACTCTTGGTTTCATTGATTTTTCTCTATTCATGTCTGTTCTAACCTTTATTATTTCCTTCCTCTGCTAGCTTTGGGTTTAGTTTTTCTCTTTCAAGTTCCTTGTTGCCCTACACTCTGGTCTTTGTCCATCATGTTCAGCTGATTTCCAAGGGCTGCTGTGAGGGTCACAGCCAACAGAACACGTGCAAAGACTGTTACACTGGCCAGGTCCTCCTAGCCTGCAGGCAGGGTGACCTCAGAACACGCCTGGGATCCAGTCCCGTCAGGAACACACCGGCCCCTCCGGAGGCGCCAGCATCGGGGGGTGGCGCTGCCACTACGGAAGGGGGCACTGCCCTCTGAGACTCACACGTTACTGTCTCCCACTCCATCCTCCTCCTGCCGCGGTGGTCCTTCTGCGGCCCTGGGTTAGGGTCGGAGTCTGGGATAAAGTGTAAGGACTTGGTTCAGTAAATAACACTGGAGGTGTAGGTGAGCCGTGTGGGCTTTTCCAGAGCAACTGAAGATTGTTCATCTCTAATGTGAAAGAGGTGCTCCCGGGTCGGCCCACTGAAGGGCACTGTGGTACGGGGACGGGCCTGAATCAAACTCCCGCCTCTTCCACCTGGCACATGCGGTCTCTGGGCACGTTAAGCTTTCTGAGCGTCCGTGCCTGCTGTTTAAAACTGCATTCACTCATCTGTCTCCCTAAGAGCTAATCTCTCCTGACTGTGCCAGGCCTCAGGACCCAGTGAAGGTTAATTCCCTCTTCCCTGTGACTGTATTCCCACCGAAGTTCTCCACCCCACCTGCTTCCTATAGCAAGATCTTACATATCTGTTAGCTTATATTCTTCTCAAGGAAGCCCCTTACAAATTAAACAGAAAAGAATATTCTACATAATAAATGGGAGAGGGGAATCAAACATTAGTCATGACCTTAATTTTGTAGAGCCAAGGCCAATACCCGGGAAGGTGATATTACATAGAAATGATCGTGGGTAGGCCAGTGTGTTGATTCCAACTCTGTAGAAAATCAGTTCAGTAACTTTCTTCTGCAGAAGAGGCTGGCTTATTTCCATAAAAGAAAACCTGGCAATAAAAAGTCAACCTTCTTTTTTAGGAAATACTGTAGCCTGATAGAAGGAAAGAATTCTAATTTTCTACATTTTCTCTACTGAATTATATCCCATTTAATATTAGTTTAAGAATACTACTTATATAATAAAAAAAATTAATACTCTGCATTTCTGGCTCCCTTCACAAGAAAAACATCATTACCTTTCTGATTGTGTTTTGAACAACACACACAGATCCTTCAGGAAGAGCCTCGTCCCTGTGGGGATTGAGAAGGGATCAGAGTTAAGCACTGAAACAAGCAATTAATTCCCATTAGAGGATTAAGGCACTCATGTTCACTTTGAATCAGAAAAATGAATTGTGAATAAAATCCTGTACAACCAAGAGGTTACTTGTCAAAGTTAATAAATTAGAGCACTGAAGGGCAAAGTGGAAGGCGCAGAAGTTGAGCGGCCACAGGAGAAACTGGTGGGGTTGTGTTTTCACTGGATGAGGTCCACGGTCAGGATGCTGCAGCAGTGGGGGCGGCGGGTAGGGTTTCTGTCACGTGGTGCTGTCTTTAATCGATGCATTTATTTCATGAAGAGAAGCCTGAAGGGGTTTCTGCTCTGTTATGTCACCACCCCCATGCATAGATTTCCCTCTAGTATCTTACCATTGATATAAAGAATCAATGAAAAGGGACACACAGGAATTAACATTCAACTTGGTGCATCTTACTTTTGGGTTTTAGAGCAGATTCTAAATGAACTCAGTGTTTCTGCAGACAACTTTACTGATGTATGAAGCCTGGACCGGAGGCCCTGCTGTGATCAGGACTTAGTCACCCTCCCCTCGGGAATCCTGAAGCCCAAAAGCCAAACCCTTGTCTCAAGTCCAACAGGTCAGGAAGAATGTGGACGTCCAGGGGTCAGCCCAGAGGTGGAACAGGCTCAGAGAGAGTCTCAAAAAGTTTAACTTCAGCAAAATTTGGTGAGTTTAACATTGTCAGTCTTTAAGAAAACAAAAACATTCATGGAAATGTCCATCTGGTCTGGCACTACTTGAAATGCCTGTCACTTACTCAGCAGTTTTCTTACTGAAAGAGTCCATCTAGAGTGTCCTATTTCATTGCTGAAGCAGAAATTGAAAGTAATTATGAGTCCTTCACATAATTGTTGCTTTTTTTCCTGCCTAATATTTTTTTCTTAGCCACCTGGTGGCAAGAGTGTAAAAAGGCAGGATTTCATTCAAGAGTTTAATCTGCTGGTTTAGGAACTAGAACTGTTGTACAGGCCGGGACCGTATTTAGAAACACACATGCCAGGTGAACCAAATAGAAAAAAGCTAATATTTAACTTTCCTTAAATTCTGCAAAACGACGTCAATGGACACCAGCGTCTAACATGCAAACAACCTTTAGAAAAGAGGCGTCTCTACAAAATGTTCATACTGGATTAATATTTTATGACAGGCAATGCTGAAGAGTTAGAGAAAACAGTAAGATCTACGTGTCATGGTTTCTAAGTGATAAAGCCTTAAGCCATGAACAGCACCGACTGCCTGCCGTCAGGGTTGGATCAGAGCACGCTAGAAAAGGCAGGAGCAACGACTCGCTTGGGTCGCAGAGAGTTACGGCCCGAGGAGCGGCTCTGCCACGGCCGGCTGGGCGCAGGACCAGCCTGGGGACCGCCACTCACCGCGGCCTCCCCAGCGGCTGTGTCATCAGCGCTCCTCGGTCGACCTCGTGTGTCCCGCGCGGCTCCCCGCAGACCCGTGGCCGCGGGCCTCAGTCACACGCGCGCGTGATATGTGCTCGTCTTCTGGTTCGGGCACGGCCCTCCCCCCTCTAACATTCCTCTCCCCCGAGACGCCCGAGTGTCTGCTCCAGTTACACGGAAATCCCTCAGAAGCTCCTAGGGCTGTAGGAAACAGGTGGGAAAACAAGCCGCTCGACCTCTGCCCCGGCTCGGGCTGCCCCTCCCGGCCCGGCGGCCGCTGTGATGCCCCTCCTCGCCCGCTTTCCTCACGACGGCCCAGGGCTTCCTGCCGCCGCCGCCGCCGGAGACCCCGGAAACGTGCCAGCAAGACGGCTTCCGGCAGGCGCCCGCGGCCGGGGACACGGCGCCTCTGAGGTCAGGAGGCTGGGCCCAGTTCTCAGCCTTCCCGGGTCCCCGCGCCCCTCCGGGCCGCCTTCCTGCCTGCCCACGCCAGACACTCCAAAGGCCACCGACGCCATCTCTGAAACACAGGGAGCACCGGGGGGACGAGGCGGCCCTCGCCCGGGGAGCGCCCCAGGCCGGCGGGGCTGGCCGAGTCCTCGCGGAGGGCAGGGGGCTGAGTGCCCGCCCGCGCCAGGAGGGCGCCCACGCCTGTCCCGCCCGCAGCCGGACCCCCAGGGAGCCAGGCCCCACCGGCGGGCCCGCCTGCGGCTCTGAGCGGAAACACGCCCCTCGCAGGACCGAGGGCATTTTTGCTGTGTGGCCCGGGCTAGACCGTCACCTAGGCGATCATTCTCACTCACCGTGAGGTCCCCTGCCGCCCCACCTCACTGTTTTACAGGCAGGAGACAGAGATGAAGGGAGGTACACAGAGGCGGCTGCAGACCTGCCTTCGCCCCTCCTGCCTGCCCGGCGGAGACTCTGCCAGGTGCCCTCTCGTGGCCTCCCGCCCAGGCTCCAACAAGACCAACGCCCAGCCCCGGGGCGCCCGGCAGCAGGGCCCAGAACACCCCGCCAGCTCCACTTCCGCCCTGAGCCCTCCGGCCCCCGCGGGTGCTCCCCTGCTGGTGCTGCCCAGCAGGCAGCCTGCCGGGAATCAGCACGTGCGGCGGCCCCTGTCCTGGAACCCTTAACCACCTGCTCTGAACCTGTGCTGTGTGAGCGAAGCCCGGGCCGGCACTGCCGCCTCCTGGCCCGCAGAGCAGCTCCGCGCAGCCCTGGCGGCGCACGGCGTCCTCGACGCCCCAGGTGCAGTCCTGGTGGACCCGCGAGGGGGCTCAGCGAGGCTCGGAGAGAGGCCGAGGCGGCGTCTCCATCCACGCCTGGGGCAGCCCGGAGAGGAGGCCTGTCCCTTCCGGGCAGAGGCCACTCGGAACGCAGGAGGAGGCAAGTGTTCACGCCAACACCGGCAGGAGAGCCTGCCCCCCTTCCTTCCACCGGCCCTCCCGGAGCAGGCCGGCCACACATGGGAGACACACAGGGACGGCAGGGCGACCCGCAGAGGCCCCGGTCCCCGTCCTCGGTCTCTGGGGGCGCAGCACTGGGGCCGACGGCAGACTGTCCGCAGAGCCTGCACGTGGTGAAAAGTGAAATCAATGCAGGTGAGAGAGTTCAGAGCAGAGTTTCCAGTTCTGACAAGAATAAAATATGTATGTATGCACGAGTTACAAAATATTGTCATTTCTGTGATTCCACATGAATTAAATGTTCCTATATTTGCATTTGGGCTTCCCTGGTGGCTCAGAGGTTAAAGCGTCTGCCTCCAATGAGGGAGACCTGGCTTCGATCCCTGGGTTGGGAAGATCCCCTGGAGAAGGAAATGGTAACCCACTCCAGTATTCTTGCCTGGAGAATCCCATGGACGGAGGAGCCTGGTAGGCTACAGTCCACAGGGTCACAAAGAGTCGGACACGACTGAGCGACTTACTTGCATTTAAACTTAAAACTGAAGTTGTCCAATATAAAGATAAAGGATAAATTCAAGGCTGAGAATTTAACATAATAGTAAAATAATACACAACAAAATGTAAAATAGCGGCTAAACACGGTTAAATCAAGAGAGACTGAAGAAAGGAAAAAGCTTCCTATTCAAGACCTTTAACAGCATTTTCCCCTGCCTTCTGAACAGGGGACCCCATGTTTTCATTCTGCACTTTGTTCTGCCTGGAACCATCCTCTCTAAACTGTTGAAACCATAACGCTCCTCAAGGGTAGGGGTCTAGCATTCTCTTCATGCTTCCCACATAACCTAGCACAGTTCAGGGCGTGCAGTAGGCACTTAATAAATACTTTTTGCAGTAAAGCAAGGGGTTTCCCTCTCGCTCGATTTCCATGGAGACCCTGCAGCCTTCAGCCTACTGGGAATCTCTCACGTTCTCTTTGTCACAAAAACCACAGGCTCAGATGCCACTCAGGGTGCAGACTTAGGGAAGCCACATCCAGTCTGGTGGCTCTGTTGCCGCCTCCTTCAGAAGCCAGACACGAAGGCACGGGTCAGGGAGAGCAAGCGCTCTGGACTCAGACTGTGGCTCTGGGCCAGTTACCCCCACCCCTGCCCCAGCCTCCCCCACGGTGTGTCCATGCACCACGAAAGGCCATCACCCAGAACCTAAGAAACCACCCTCCAGGGACAGCACTCAGACCAGTGTGTGTTTGGGGCAGGTCTTCTTATCTCTACCAGGGCAGCAGTTCCATGGGCGCATACATTTGGCAAAATCATCCACCTGTGCACTTAATGTGAGAGTTTGCTTGTGTGTAAATTATACGTCAAAGAAAGCTGACTGAAAAAAAAGATTTAGTGGAATCGTGGAAAGAAGGCAATCTGTAGGCCATTCTGCCTGTAATTATTGCCAGTTTATATTTTTCTCTGAGTTCAACACACTTCACAATCCCTAATCAATAGCAAAAACTTCCCTTTGAATTTCCACCAGCATTGAGTAGCTCTAAAACAGCTTTGCAATGGCCTCCCTTAAAATTCAGTTGTTTTCTGGAACCCCACATACAACACAACCACACAGACTTCTCTGAGGCTGTTACCTGGGCTCCTAGAAGGAGGGGCTAGAAGTCTGAGGTGTCGCCGAGGACGCAGAGGCCTCTGCAGGCCGGGGCCTGGGGGGAAGACTCAGGCCTCGCCGGCTGTCATGAGCCACCTGGGGCCTGTCCACTGGCGGCCGACCAAGCAGAGACTTCCCACCGTGGCCATACCAGGAGATGCAGCAGATGATTTGTCTCTCAGGATATTGTTCTGCAGGCCTGCTAGAGGAGCTTTTAACTTGCTTGCTGGCAGTTGCTCAAAACATGTTTATTCTGCCAGCAGCAAGCCCCCCATCAATGGGGAAGGAGTCAGGGATCTGCATTTGTGTCCCCTGCCCCCCTCCCCCACCCTGCCACTTGCAGAGCCAGCAGGTCCCCCAGACTCTATATGCCCCCAAAGATCTTTTTTTTCTTCTCGGACACAACTCGGGCAGAAAGCAATGGTGTACACTACCCATTAGTGGACTATTTAAAAGGTTTTGTTTTTCAGAAACATTTCAAGGCTTAAATGCTTAACTTAAAGTGGTTTCTGACTGTCTGCTTTCTTGTGTGAGAAATGGGGGTCTGGAAATGCAACTTAAGTTAGAAGCAGCACAGAAGAACAATTAGGAAATAACACACAAAGCCATTCCCTTATAGGTGGTGTGCTAACAAAATGTCCCAGAAAGAAGAGAAATAGACCCATTTAAACAACTGCTAAATAGCCATTTTAGAAGTCAAGCCTCCCCCAAAGTGAATGAATAAAATAGTAACAAATGCAGCTGAGGCCCCAGCTAGGCCCAGGTCCCCTATATTTAATGCAGTATTTCACAGCTTTGGAGGAACAAGAGGTTCAAAGGTCAAAGCCAAGCCACTGCCAACCTCGGAGGGGCCTGCATCACCCAGGACAAGGGGGCCGGGCCACAGCAGGTGGCGGGAGACGTGGGGGACACGAGCTAAGCTACCCGGGGCCCTAGGATCCATAGGCGGGCAGCCAGGGGCCGACACCGCGGGACAGAATGAATTCGGGGAGAAGACTCTGGAAGACGACCGCCAGCCTGAGACCCCAGAACAGCACCTCTATGACAAAATAGCCCTGAGCCCCGTGCAGGAGGCACCAGCCCAGCAGCCCACCGCGGCTGGGCACTGCCGGCCACGGCAAGTCGGGGGCTCCATCTCCGGGGACTCTGGAATCCAGACTCACTGCTTCCGGTGGCAGTAACAGAAGCACCTTCAGAATTACTGTTTGCTAAGAATATGACTAAAGACCAGTTTTCCCTAGAAGGATGCTGGCTACCTGGAGGCGGTCAGGAAGGCAAGAGGAATGCAAACCTGGGAAAGCTCACGCCTCCCTCAGGACACGCGAAGGAGAATCACCCCCAGAACACGCGCACACACACAACTCCATTTTTAAAGGTTTTGTTTGTTTTTTTAAAGAAGCCTTTAAAAAATGAAAACACAACTCAAAATTAAGCCTGATGGGTTTTTTGATTAGTTAAGTGTCCCCAGAGCATTCAAGGGGAAGGAAATGGCACCTCACTCCAATATTTGTGCCTGAGAAATCCCATGGGCAGAGGAGCCTGGTGGGCTAAATACAGTCCATGGGGTCACAGAGTCTGATGCGACTGAGCAAAGCATGCAGATCCTATCAGGGCTTTTCCAGCCCAAGTAAAATTCAATTAAAACTCTGAATTACAAGCAAGAAGGGAGTAGGGGAGGAAATTAAGGGCATATTACTGAACATGCATTTAAACACTTCACATAAAGTGGATCCATTTATTCATATTCCTGTGACTCTGAGCACGCACCTGATCACTGCTCGCCAATGGCAGTCAGAATACCTTGAGTCCAAAATTCCCAGAAAAGTGTCTTTTGTTGGAGTGACTGGGCTTTGAAGGGGCTGGATGCACTGAGCCAAGTGAATCCAAGCCTCTTAGACACTCTGTCCCCAGTTAAACAAGCAAAGTCAAAGCTACGTGACCGCCGGGACCCGGGACGCCAGCCTTCACACACCTTGACCTCTGGCATTTGGGGGCAGATGTCAGGACCCTAAATATTACTAAAAAGCATGATCTGGTCTATACTTGGCTTTTCAAAAGCACTTAAAAAACAACAGGCAGGCCACTCCTGGGAAACCAAAAGCCAGTTAAAATGTAAAAATGCCCTGTGGTCAGCAGAGAAGAAACACTGCTATGTTCAGTTTAACCACTTTTTCAGACTTGTTTAAAAAATAACAGAACTGCTTTTCATCATGGGGCTTTTTCTTTTTTAAGATTAAGTTTACAGGGTTCTTTCGATCATAAAAAAGAGAAAGACTCAGGGAAGCTCCACTGGGCTTATCCAGCCATTTTCCTAATTGAACAGCCTGATCATTTTAGTGAGGTGGTTAACAATTTTTTCTTTTGATTTATAGGAACTTTGTCTCCTTCCTCTCCCCAAACAACTTTCTTCTATAAAAACGAACAAAGCAATGTCAGCTAAGGACAAGAAAATCAGGTCTCTCTCTTCTCCCCGCCCTGTTGTGGGAGCAGCCTGTGGTCAGGGGGATGAGCTGTGTCTTCTTCGCCTGCTGGTATCTGAGGGGAAGATTACTGGCGGTCTCCCTGGTCTCTCAGGAGTCCCTCCCCAGAGGTGAAATGACCGGGACACCACACGTCTTGAAGGAGAGAACTACCTAAAGAGCAGAGTCTTCAAGGGGCAACAAGCAGGCACAGGATGAGGGTGGTTGGGGGAGAGGGTGGTCTGAGCGGAGGGAACGGCTGGGCACTCCTGGGGGCTGGGAGCCCTGGAGAAGGA